TTGTTGGGCGAGGTGGGTCTGTGCTGTCCTCCAGCCTTGGATTGGGGATCTACTTTCTGGGGGAGCATGACAGGACCAGATTAGACCCAGGCAGGACTTTTCTATTCAGCAAATACATACTGGCCCCAGGGAGACCCGGAGCCTGGCCGTCTCGGAGAGCACACTTTAGGGTCCAACTTCCGGGTTTGAAGTGAATTCTCTCACCCCCTGGCTGGGCCTCTCATTCCCTGGGCCTCGGGTCTCCTCAGATGTAGAGGGGACCTCCAAGCAGCCCCCAGCTCACAGGGTTGTGTGGCCACGAAGGGCACCAGCCACCTGCGCACAGTGGCACTTGAGTGTTTGTTGAATGAATGTCTGAGCGTACTCACCTTGGACTGTCTTGGGGTGCCTGTGCTGAGCTGGGGTCTCTTCTGTCTCCCCAACGGCACCTGGAAGAGTACAGGACGGTCAGAGGGTCCTGTCAGGCCTCTTTAACCCCAAGTAAGCCCCCTCCCAGCTACAGGCTGGGAGCAAGGCAGAGAGTAGCTTCCTGTTTCTATCTTGGGTAACAACTTAGCATGGAAACCGGGGACAGGGCTTCCCTTGCCGACCCACGAGGCCATTTCCCAACATGTTCCTCTCAGCCTGGCCAAGGTCTCCTGGGCCAGACAGACATGTGCAGCCCCCAAAACAGGGCTCAGATTCTCCACTGTGTGACCTTGGGAAAGCAGCTTGCTGTCTCTGAGCCTCAATAGAAATAAGAAGCATCAACCCTACTCAAAGTAACATGGACAGTTTCTCCTCCCATACACCGGGTGTGATCCTGCCTCAGGACCTTCGCAGGGTCTCTTCACTCTGTCTGGATTGCTCTTCCCCCACCCGCTAACCCCAAGCAGTTCAACTCCTTCCTGTCATTGCACAACTGTCACCTTCCCAGGAAGACCTTTGTGGGTGGGACATGCCCTCTCACTAACTATTCGGATCTGTATCCATCTTACTACTTCTTTTTCCTCTAGCACTAGTCACCGCCTAAAATACATAATGAAACTTTTTAAAGGGTTTTCTTTCCTTGACCATTTCCCCACCATAACGTGTTTTACCATTTTATCCCCAGCCTCTACATGCATAGTACGTGCTCAATAAACGTGGGACTAATGAATGAAAGAACGTTGGGTCGCCACAGCCCCTGGAAAAAACCCCGATCCTCAGGATAATGCACCACATCTGTTCATGGCCTGTGCTCCTCTAATACGCCAGGAGCTGGGGACGCCTGGGTGGAGAGGCGCGGGGGACACATGGGTCCCGCTACTGTGGGGCCCACACCCTGGAGGGTGGCGAACAGCAAGTAACTAACTCAACCAAGGCCGAGGGAGAGGAAGACTGGGGGGGAGTAGAGAAGCAGCTCAGGCTTGGTTCCTGGCTGGGCACACACCATGTCACCGCTGCAACCCACAACGGGTGGGGACTTCTCACCAGCCGCCGGGTGGTCAGCTCTGCAGTGGACACCTGCGCAGCTTCCCCTAACCCAGTTCTGTTCTGAGTCTCTCCCCTCCCCCCAGGCGGCTCAGACCCCACAGGCCGAGGCTCCGCCCCAAGCTGGCGCCCCCTGCCCAGCCCCAGCCCCAGGGGGTGTTCTCTGGGCTTCTGGCTGCAGTCGGGGTCCCGGCCCTTCCTCGGGTCTGGTCAGTTTGCTCGAGAGGCACCTGCCCACGTGGAGCCCTGACCCCAGACTGCCAGCCTCCGCCCTGTGGAAGATCCCGGGCCTGGCCTCGAACCTGCGTCGTCCTGCCTCGGCTTCCTGCAGTCGCTGTGAGGACAGGAG